TCCTTTTTGGGGGCTTCTTTGGCTGTGGATTGAGCAGAGACGCTGATGGGGAGATAGAGGGGGAGCCTCAGCATTCAGCCCAGCCTGAGTCCAACACCACCTCATTTTGGGAGGGGGGTCACGCACAACCCAGGTCCCCTTCCAGCCACTGGGGCAGCAGATGGCAAATTGGGGTGAAAAAATGCTGGAAAGGCAAAGGCAGGAGCCCGCTGCACTGCTGCCTGTCCCTTTGCATTCAGTTCTTGGTCAGCTAAATTGTTATTGAATAAGGCAAGCTGCGTCAAAAATGTGCTTTAATGAAGTGCAGCAGGGGCTCTGGCATCGTTTCCCAAGCTCCACGAAGGTTTTAATCCCCCGGCTCTCCAAGCCACTGCGCGACGTATGCTTTAAAGAGGAGATTTCTTGCTCCCTGGTATTTCATGCATGTCATATTTTAAAGACATGCTGCCAGTTTAGTTTAGGCCCAAAACGCTGGTGTCATTTAGGGGGGGGTGTGTGGAGAAAGGGGGGAGATACTTCACCACAGGGATTAAAAATAATCCCAGTGCCACACAGAGCACAGTCCAAGTCCCCCCATGTCCCCACCGAGAAGCCTAAAGGTGTCCAAAAGGATTTGGGAAGGTCTGAAAATGGCAGGAGGGCGATGGGCATCCTCTACACCCAGCCTCGCATCGCATTCCACGGAGGATAATCCCAAGGGATTCTCCAGGCACCAAGAACGGACTTTGCTAATTAGTCCTGGCTTATCTCAAGCAAACTTTCTGCTCTGTTTGCTTAAGATGGGCCTGCAGTGAGTAATATCTGGAGCAGGGAGGAAAAAGCCCTGCTGGCATCTCTCTTCTTGCCTGGGAGAGCCTCGCTCGGGGAGATATTAAAGGCTTTTGTTTCCAGGAGCTGTCAAACCCCTCACCTTTCACAAGCACTAAAACGGCCAAGGGAACAAATCTATGTGAGTGGAATAATAATGTTTAAGTCGTAAATTGGAGCCTGTAAATCAAGGAGTGACGGGGCGGGCGGTGTAATGTCTCCTGAGTTAACATTCGAGGTTTGCTTTCACCTGAGGAAAAGGGGAAAAACAGCCAAGTCCCTGCCCTCCCACTCCAGAGATTGCTATAAATCACCTTAATGTTACACTTTTGCTCTTAAATAGACCAAAAGCATGAGCGTGGGGAACAGACAGTGGAACTGGGTGATTTAAAAAGTACAGTGCTGGGAAGAAAGCTTTAACCCCCCCCAAACAGACCCAAACCGTTCCCTCTCTGCTTTGAAAGCCCAGGGTAAATCCTGCACTCCAAGAAACACACCCCCACGGACCAAACCTTGGTCCTGCCGTGGTGCTGAGCTCGGTGAGGGCATGGGGACAGTTTGGGTGCTGCTGGCAAACCATGGAACAGGCCTGTCTGTCTCCATGGGTTTGAATTTCAGAACCCAAACTGGGGGATTCAATGCACCCCAACTGGAAGCAACAGAAGAGGAACCCACCCCAATCACCTCACACAGGGGACATTTGCAGACCTGGGGTTGTCACTCACCTGCTAATGCAGTCCCACCACTGCAGCTCACCTCCGGGGAGGGCAGTGGTGGGAAGGAGGGAACATGAGTGGAAAAGCACTGTGCAGTTGGGCATTGGGCTGTGTCCACATCCAGATTCTGCTCTCCCAGAGCTGAAAATATTGTTGGTTATTTTTCTCTGGGAATCCCAATTTTATCTGTTTTGGGTAAGGAGAATAAAACTCAGCAAATCTGAACAGAGTGTCCCAAACACTGAAGATGCTTTCACCCTCACCTCCTCCCTCCTCCACCACCGCTGCACCCGGTCCATCCAAGAGCAGATCCCCGCTGCTCCCACCCAGGGACAGCAGGCACCAGCTCATGGGGCTCCAACCCCAGCACCCAAAGGGGTCTTTGCCACCCCTGGGGCTGTCCCAGGACAGCACTGAGGAGTGAGAAGCTGGTGTGGAAGATGCTGAATGGAGACACTGGGCTGGGGAGGCTGCGGCTGCATGGCCAGCGGAGCATGGGGAGGAGGAGGAGGAGGAGGAGGAAGGCATTGGCATGCAGAGCACAAGTGCATGTGGGGCACTCTCCTCTGCCTAATCCAGTGGGTTCAAAGCAGCCTGGGCACAGCTGCAGTGTCTGAGCCCCAACAGGTGACAGCTCAGCTGTCCCCTCCCCATGGGGCTCTTATCTCTGGAAGGGGCTGGCCTGGGGGCCGGCTCCATCCTGCCCTCAGAAGCATCCTGCAGCTTCCGACGGCTCCCTCTCCTCTGAGCCCATCGCGGTGGGATGGGGCACGGCTGAGGGGAGGCTCTGGTTGTGCAGAGTCCTCTTAAAAGGGGCTCGGACTTGCTGGGAAAGGCAGGAGCGAGCTGTTCTGCAGGGTGCTGGTTCTGTGGAGCTGGCACTGACACCCTGAGAACAGCACACGGGGTGTCTGCCCTGTGCTGACACCCGGTCCCTGCCTGGAACCATGGAATCAACCAGGCTGGGAAAGCCCTTTGAGCTCATCAAGTCCAACCTTTACCCCAGCACTGCCAATGCCACCACTAACCCATGGCACTGAGGCCTCGTCTACTCAGTGTGTGAACACTTGCAGGGAGTGACTCCAGCACTGCCCTGGGCAGCCTGGATCATGGTCCCCTCCAGCCCCTGGTCCTCTGCTGATGGAGCTGGGAATAGGCTGGATCCCACCTCCAGCCCTGAGTGAATTCCAGTGTAAGGGCTACAGGGCAGCAGGGAAATATTTTATGCCATCACTCTGAAAACCCCTTTGCAAACTGCATCCTTCCACGCAACTGCCCTCGCTCCCAGTGCATCCAGCAGCAGGACCAGGAGAGGCAAATCCAGCCAAGCCTCTGTGCATCCACTGAAGCTGGAGGGATTTCTGTTTCTCCTCCCAACTGTCTGGTTCCTCCCTGGAGGCTGCACCAGCTGAAGAGACCATCTGCCACCATTGGGGTCAAAACACAGCAATGAGCAGGGGAGCGTGGCGGAACACTTGTGCCTGCCCTGGCCAGAATCACAGAGCCACAAAATGACTGGGGTTGGGAGGGACCAAAAAGCTCATCCCCCTGCCAGGGGCAGGGAAATCTTCCACTAGAACAGGTTGCTTCAAGCCCTGTCCAACCTGGCCTTGAACACTGCCAGGGATGGGGCATCCCTCTCCCCCAGGGATGCACCCACATCCCCAGCAGCCAGTGGTCACTGCAGGGCTCAGGTTGGGACAGTGGCACAAGCAGAGAGAGCCTGGGTCCACTCCTTCATCCCGCAGTGATCCCATCCCCACTGTGAAGAGATGCCCCAATTCCCCTCATTTATATATGAAAATAACAAAGTGTGACCTGAAATATTTCCCCAGCAGCTGCAGCGGGGCACAAAGGGTCACATAAACACCTCACTCACCTCCATGCACCCAAGAAACACCCATTAACATCCTCAACAGTGCAGGTGTGGGGGGGCAGATCCATGTACCCCCATCCCAATTAGCTGCTGCATTGCCAGCTACCCACTCGAGTCCCCTTAAGCCAACTCAAGCTGCTATTGTCTGAGCAGCACCATTATCCAGGCAGCCTCCAGACCCCCTTCCCCACTGCTCATTTCTCCTTATCTGCATAGTTTATTGAAAATTAAAATCTCTTTGCTTTTTTCCCAGGGCTCGGTCGGGAACGATCTCTTCTCTTGGCCCTACTTGACTCCAATTAGTTGGGATAACAAAGCTGCCGCTGTTGGAGGATTATTGACAAATGCTCAATGCAAAAAAGAATGGCAAGAGAAGGGTCTATTAAAATGACAACTTTCTAAGCCTGGAAACAAAACCTCCTGGTGATTTATAGTGCTGGGGAGGGACAGAAAATACCAATTCTTAGGTTTTTGATGGCATTTCAATTGATCGGTCCCCTCCTGCCATGACTTTGTGTCTTGCTTCTCTTCATTAACCAATGTGTCACCATCAGCATCCTGCAACGCCGCAGCATCCTCTCCCCTCCCAGGACCACAGGGACATCACCACCAGCCATGGCTCCAGGACAGGAGCCTAGGGATACTGGAAGCATGGAAATAGATCCCATAACAGAGAGGCAGCCCCATCCCTGCCCGTTTCCCAGGCCTCGGGCTCGCTGACACCGTTCCCATGGGCGCCCGTCGGCGCTGGCGTTGGGCTCCTGCCCCTAAAAACCTGCTCGATGCAGCTGCAACTATGGCACAAAAGGACTGAGGAGCATTGAGAGCAGCACAACTCCCTCACTGATAACTCCTTAATGGCGTTTCATATTTTTTCCCTGGCATTTTTTTTCTTTGTAGATAAAAGAATGTGTGTGTGTGTGTGTGTGTGTGTGTGTGTGTGTGTGTAAAAATGAAGGATACTTGATAAAGGGCAGTGAGTGTTATCCCTAAGAAAAAAATAAACGAAATAAATAGGAACCTCACAGAGCTTTTTCTCTTCCCTAGGTGGCTGGGGCAGCTGGCTCTTTAAATATTAATCAGGGCCTCATTGAGATGCAAATATAGGGAGAGGGAATAATGCTCCCGCAGCTGCGCAGCCCCGGCCTCCTCTCCACCATGAATGGGAATATCTGAGGACACAGGTGCAGGGAGCCGACCGCGAGCAGGATCCTGCTTAATAAGGTAATTTGTGAGCGATGCTCTATAGAGACGAACCGGAGCAATCTTTTACCACTTGACAGTATCTGACCACTAAACAAGGTGTTAATCTTCTAATGGTGGTGTTGACTGTTCCCTAGCACAGCGTTCCTGGCCTTTTGCCCTGACACTTGGCCAGTTAAAATCAACTTCACTGACGGGTCGGACGTGCGCCAACCGATCGGCGATAAATTATTTATTGTTCTATTTCCCAGCATAACAAGTAAACAGGAAAGACGGGGCATCCCGCAGGGAAAAACAGCTTGGATGCACATCGCTGGACCGAGTCGTGTTGCTCCACATGGGCACCCCCATCCCCTGTTTCCCCCCCCGAGGCTGTGCTGTGCTCCCCTGGCTCTCACCTCTTTCTGCCGCGAAGGTGACTGCATCCCAGCTTGCAGGAGCAAAGCTGTGTCCGGTGATGGGTCTGGTGCTGGCATCTGTGCACAGGGTCCTGCAGATAGGGTTCTGGGGTGGTCACCTCCTGTTCCTCATCAGCTCCTGGTGCCCACTCTCTTCTTGGTGAACTGGGAGGGCAAGAAGAGAGACTAGAGCCATAAGAGCCTGTTATGGGCATCACTGTCTGTGATAACGGGGAAGCCGGAGCAGGATGTGGGTGGCAAACATGAGCTCCCCATCACTGTGTCCTCGCTCCAAGGCCATCCATGACGGGGACCTTCAGCTGCTGCAGGAGAGACAACGGGGAAAGTGGGTCAGAGCCTTCAGCAGCATTTCACATAACCAGAGCCAGCACAGTCAGAGGCCCGTAAGTACCGCTAGGGCTGAACTCACATATTTTGCTCTCTTCTGCAATTTCTTATTAGCATAGGTGGGTCTACAGGCCAGGGAACGATGGGAAGGAAAGGCCTCCATGAGGGCACCAGAAAGGCACCCTCCATCACCACCCAACATAACCCAATGTGCTGCATTGCTGATTTAAACACTCATCCCCCGTTGCCATGCTTCTTGAGAAGGGATGCCCTTGCCATATCCCATTCCCAGCTCTTGGGGCAGAGCTGGCCCTGGGGCATGGTTTGTTCTTCCCTCTAACAGGCGTATTGGGGCTGCCCCATCCACACCGGATACAAGGAACGCATCCCATCCTTCTGTAACAGCAAGAGGAAAACAGCTTCGAGGTTGTGGATACAACACCCGCTGTGGCAGAGTATATTTAAGGTTTGCCTCCTGTGGTTGCCATCCTCCCTTTTCCCTGCCAAGCTTCCTTGCCCGGGCTCCTGGTGATGAATGACCTCGTCCGGGTACCGCCGGTACCAGGCGCGCGCAGCTGCGAGGCTGTTTCCCGGGGCGGGCGCTGCAGATGGCTGCTCCATCACAGCTGCCCGCTCCCTGCTCACAAAGGGATGGGAAACACAATTAATTAGAGAGCAGAAGGGAGCGGGAAGGGATGCTGGGATGTCACAAGGAGCCGACCCGGAGCTCGCCCTGTGACCGGCACATCCAGCCTTGATGCGGTGGGCTCTGGCTTTGGGAAGATGCAAAGGGGTCTCGGGGCAAGGGTTTCTGTGTGGTGCTGTGATTCCCAAATTCCCGGAGACAGGGAGAAGCGCAACTTCTCATCCTTGTCTTCTGACCCAACTTCTGACTCTTCTGATGTTAGATTCTGGCCTCTGGGTTCTGCTCAAGGGGCAAAGCTCAGCTGCGCTGTGTTCCCTTGCAGGCAGGGCTGGATGTGGCTGCTACAGCCTTTTATGCATGTGAGCGCTACAACCACTGTAGGTACAGGCAGCATCTCCACACTGTCTGGCAACAGGCAAGATCATCTCAGAGACTGGAATCATGTAAATTCAGTCACCTTTGCATTTGTTGACAGTTCAGCAAAACCTTCTTAGCATGGGTAAAAGTTACTTTATTCCAGGAGAGAAAACCAGTTCTACTTAGCCTTACAGACTGGCCTTTTGTTTCCAAAGTATATTTATTTGCCTTATTATCTCAGCACTCTCAATATTATTAACAATAAATCACAATTAATTATTGTTATTTTTTATACAAGGAATTTGCCTCTTTCAACACTTCACTGGGAACAAACTGGATCTACAACCTAGAGTGCAGAGATGCCACTTCCCCACTTAGAACCCACTGTCCTTCACTTCAGGGCTCTCAGATTTGGTGTAGGAGACAAAGATTAATTTGCCAATACAATGCACCCTGCCAGGGCAGCACCCCAGGGGTTGCTTGTGCTGCACTGGGAGGTTTAAGACCCCCAGTGCAAGAGCCATCGTGTCCTACACTGCTGCCAGAGCTCGCCACATGGACCCATCTCCCATCCCTCCCATTTGTTACCACTGTCTTAAAAGCAACTCTTATCCAAGCTGACAAGCTGCAGAGACACATCATGGGCCTCAGCTCAAACAATCCCAAAAGGGCCAAACCCCATGGACCCGGAGCCACTCTGGGAGGATAGAGTTTGCTCCTGTGGGCTGGAGGAGGATGTGGCTGTGTCAGCACCAAGCACCACGCAGCCGCCAGCTGCTGCTGAGGTGTCTTTTACCCTGGACCTTGTTAATGAACTGAAGCTTAGGAGAGAGTGTGTGGCTGGGCTAGACACAGAATCAACCAGGATTAGCAGCACAGAGCCCCTGAGCGAGGACTGGGCTCTATCCCTACACTTGAAACTCAACTCCTCGCCACAGCCGCCTGGAGCGATCCCTCCCTTCCCGACGCTCCAGCCATCCATCACTAGCTGGGAAAATTACCTTATACAAGAGCTTTTACACCAATGAGACAGCTAGCCCTTGGGCTTCTGTTTTTCATTCCATTTTTCCATGGAAAAACAGAGGTCAGGCAATGCCTCAGCCGTGCTGCATCTCTGCCCAGCCTGCCTGTATCAGGGAGCAAACACTAGGATAAACTCTCCAACATTCCTCAAAACAACCCACACAAGGCAATCTGCCCTGCAGCACAGCACGGCCTGGTGGTAGATCACCTGTGAGAAGGGAAAACAAAGACATCTAAGAGGAAAACCAAATTCCCTGCCTCAGCCAGCCATGGATGTACATGGGGAGCTGCAAGGCGAGGGCATGGAGTAATAAACAGCTCCTTCCCAGCTGAGAGGCGCTGCCAGCCAGCAGTGATGCACTTTGTGCGTGTGCTCTATATGCACACCATAAAAATAATGCTTTGTGAAGGATATGGAAGCATCCAGGCAGGGCCAGGCAGCTGGGAATCTGTCAGGAGGAAGTGCAGGCAGTGGGATCCGGCCAGAAGAATTGCTCCAGCTTCTTGTGGGGTGGAAATAAAAGTCCAATTGAAAGCACCCTGCTTCCCCTGCAGAAATAGGTCCAGGCACAAATCATAGAATAAGGGAATGGTTTGTGTTGGAAGGGACCTTAAAGCTCCTCCAGCTCCAACCCCTGCCACGGGCAGGGACACCTTCCACTAGAGCAGCTTGCTCCAAGCCCCTGTGTCCAACCTGGCCTTGAACACTGCCAGGGATGGGGCAGCCACAGCTTCTCTGGGCACCCTGTGCCAGTGCCTCAGCACCCTCACAGTAAAGGATGTCTTTGTAATATCCAATCTCAGTCTCCCCTCTGTCAGTTTAAAGCCCTTTGCCCTTGTCCTGTTCCTACAGGCCCTTGTCAAAAGCCCCTCTCCAGGTTTCTTTTAGCCCCTTTAGGTATTGGAAGACTTCTAAAGGAAACAATCCAATCCATGCTTTTTTCCCCTTATAAAACCAAACATTTCATCTTAACATGAGAGGGGGAAGAAAAGCCATAATTCATTTGAACTTTCCTCCCTGAAAAACAATCTGGAGAATGCCCCATTCTGCAGAAACACACAGGTAAAACCAGAGTGACCCATCCTGCTGCTCATCCCCTGCGTTTCCAGAGCACATCCCCATAGCATCTGCAGTGCTGGGTGGCATGCTCCAGTCGTTCCTTCCCAAAGAGCCATCCTGCAGTGGGTATTCCCTACTTTGGGCCCAACATGAGGTAAGGCTTTGCACTAGACTAACACTTAATAAATGTTCACATGAATTAGCTGAAGGTGACATTGCACAGCCCAATTCCTGACCGCGAGCTGCCAGCCCAGGCCGGGGCCGGTGCTGCAGATGTGTGTTCCTGGAAAATGGAAGGCCATATGGTAAATATGGGGAAAAAAACTCTAATATATATATATATATATATACATACATACACATATATTTATATATCCCTAAATGCTTTTTCACCTGATCAGATTTTACTTGGTTAATCAAAGGTTGCGTGACAAGCTGAATACCCAGGAGCTGATGCTCGGTCCCATCCCTCTCCCCCCTCCTGCGAGCATCACTCCTTACCCTGGACATGTGCACTGGAATGGGACAAGCTGTGGGACAGAGCTCCACCAAAAAACCAACCAAGCTGCCCTGGCCACTTTTACAAGGATAAAATGATGCTCCTCAATGTAAGGATCACAAAATACCTATCCAGCTCTAAAGTGTGTTCGACAGCCAAACACTGGGATTTCCTCTTCTATAAACCTGGAAAAGGATCCAGCCCGACTCTGTAACGAGCAATTATTCCTTTCCAAAGTAAAATGAAATGAGAACCATTCCCATAATCACCCACTGGATTTTATCAGCATGTTTGGGTTACGCTTTCTGCCCCTTTGGCTAATACCTAATTGATTCTTTAATCTCGACAAGTTTTTTTATTGACTGATACAAGAGCTATTTAGCCCACGGAAAGCAGGCTGCAAACCCTCCGAGACCCACGACACGGGGCTGGGATGACCTCATCTGAAGCCAACGCTTTATTTGATAATCTATCACTTATTTATTATTCTAAGTAACCACTTGCAGGTGGTGTGATTTTAGTGAGACTGTCCCAGCAACAGGCACGCACAGGGAAAAGGCTCAGCAATGTGCAACCTCATCCGGAGCAGCTACCGTGGAGGAAGCAGGCTCCCAGCCTGTGCTGGGGGAAATGGGGGAAAACCCCATGGTTTGGGGATGGGAAGGACATGGCAAAATCCAACTGACTGTGGAAGACTGAAGGCCAGGCCTCATCCTGCTCGCAGGGGGAAGAAGGAGGCAGAAGAGGATGGAAAACCCCAATGCCATCGGTAGGGACCTGTGCGGTGCCCAGCATCCACACAGGGATGATTCAACACCTTCCTCCTTACCTGCCTGTGTGAGAAACATGAGCAAAAGGAGGATTTTAGGGAATTACAAGGGACCAGGACACGAATGTCCCTGGAGAGCCTTGCACCAGGCTAGCATGGTCCTGTTCCCCAGTGGGTCAGCACTGGGATCACTTACCGGAGCAGCATGGATGGTACATGGGCTCCAGAAGGTTCAGGCTGGCACAGCCAATGTAAATCCTGCATAAATAAAGGGTTTGGGGTTTATTTGTTGATGTCTCCATATTGGTTTTTATCTACCTCAGTCTTGGGGTGGGTTCCCAGCCCTTTGCCATCCCCTTTGGAGCAATGGGCCAAGGCGGGATGGATGCTCCATGGAGGTGCCTTCAGCTCAGCACCACCAGGAAGCCTGAAGGCACAAAGCCTCCACTCCTGTGCAAAACCCAGACCTGACAAGGGTGTCCTCACAGCACAAACCATGGGGTCTGTTCCCTTCCTATTCCAAGGGGGGCAGTTCCCATTGGACCCCATGCGAGGCTGTGCTGCTCTCCAAACTGGAATCTGGGAGGAGGCAGCAGATAGAAACCAGCCATTGAACTGACAGCACGACTCGGAGCCATCCAGCAGCAGGCTTTTAAGATCAATTAGTCCTGCATTAGTCTCTGAGACTTCAGAGCTAGGAATGCCCCCAGGATTTGAGCCACTTCGAGTGTTTTCCTGGTGAGGAGAACCAGGCAGGTACCGGGAAGCACCACCGAGAGCAGAGGGGCATATCTACCCCCTCACTGCCTGCCCAAGCTCCTTCAACCAAGCCAAGAGCCCTCAGGAAAAGAGGAAAATGGTATTTTGAGTGGCAAGACCCTGTTGTGGCTTCGGTTTTAACCCCAGTTGGGGGGGGAAGAAAAGGCAGGGGGTTGGGAGGATGATTTTTTTCATTAAAATAAGAATCGATCCACAATGAAAACAGACTTCTAATGGGAAAAGCTGAGTGCAAATGGAAGCTTTTAAAGATCCTTTTGAGTGACAATAACCTGAAGACCCTCCAGGAACTCCAGCCTAGAATAATCAGATTAAATGAAAACTAATATACGATCCTGAAATTCATCCCATGCTGGTCTAAACTTGGAGCAGCTGCATAATTTAGCCTACAGGTTTCTGCCTCATGCCCAGCAGTTCACACTGAATTGTTTAGCCAAACTTAATCTACTGGGAAGGGAAAAAGCTCTTTCCTTTAATACGTGTTAAAGTAAAGCCAGCTTCTAAAAGCAGCTGGGAGCAGGGAAGGTACAGGAATCGTACAGGAATCCATGTATTTTTCACAGGAACTCCCAGACTGAAGGTTGGCTGCTTTAAACCAAATAACTACAAGTTAGAAATGATCCAGGAATAAGGGAATCTCAGGGTTGGTGCACTGAAGCTGCTGATGTGGGTAATACCAGGGCTGAGCCCCGCATGAGGATCTTGCACAGGCACAAGCCCACCTTCTCCAGCAGCTCCTCACCACTGACCCCACTGGGCCACATTCCCAAAACACGGATCAAATCCACACTTTCAGCCAGAGAAAGGTTTGAAAATGCAACCTGGGTGGATGTCAGAAGATCAAAGGGAAGGAATTGCTTTTTTCCTGCCAAATCTTAGGGGTTTTACACCAACCCTAGAGGTTTTCATTACAGGAAGGCTGTCTCTTTGAGGAGTTTGGCAATGGGCAGATGCCCTCCCAGGGCCCAGTGACCAGCGTGGTGATGGTGGAGGTGGGAACCTCTCTGTTCCTGCAGCAGAAATAAATCCCAATGGGAAAACAGAACAGAAGCTGCTTCACTTTGATGTGACAATGTCCCCTCAGATGCCTCAGTGGTGATGGGAGCCTGAGCTGCTCAAGGCTGACACGGGGCAAACAGCCTTGCTGCATCCTTCCCGTCAAGTGGTTTTGGGACCTAGCTGGACCTCAGAGAGAAAACAGTAAGAGGGAAAACAGGATGCAGAGAAACCTCTGGATCATTGGGATGGGCTAGGGAAACACAGCCAAGATAAGGGAGTTGTCACAGAGGGGTTCAGCTGATCATTGTTTTGACTGATGGATCCAAACCCTGCACCCCAGGGCCCATGGAATTGGTGTCAGGACTCTCATTCTCTCTGCTGGGTGCTTGGTGTGTGCCCCCATCTCCTCACCTGAGGAAGAGGAGCCTGTCAGGAACAGAGCACAGTCACCTTCCAAATGGATTTACGGCACATTGACTTGGGAATGCCAGTTTTACAGGGCAAAACCCCCTCTCCAAGCAAACTTCTAGTCAACAGATAACACAATGTGGTTCCGATTTCCTCCCCCCTGAAAGAATTGTTTCTTCTTTACAATTTTTATCCCAGGGAAACGTTTCTAATTTAATCCCCTCATGCACCTTCCTCACTGCCTTTGAATGTGTATTATCTTCCAGGCAGCGCTCCGGAGCGGACTGAGCAGTTTTGATTGAAAAAGAAAAGGAAGAGAAAAGGGGGAGAAATAAAAGCTCCACAAGCACAAGCAGGAATGGAAATGCTGGTCTGGGTTCCATTAGCCCTGACCCAGAGGTTGGTAAGCAAAAGAAATTAATTAAATTGGGAAGGAGGGAGGCCAGCACCATTTGGGGATGCCCGGGGGATGTCTGTCACCCATCACCCGTCACCCATGCAGGGGGGCACCCTCACCCCGTGCCCTGGCACATACAGAGATGGATGGAAATGGGGAGTAGAGAGTGACTTTACAGGGATTTAAATCCCATGGCTTTGTGTGGAGGATCCCAAGGCAGGATGGGTGCAGCCACAGAGGTGGGATCCTAATGGGCTTTTTGCTGTGGGAAGTGCCCTCCTGGGAGCAGGGTTGGCCCCAAAGAGATAGGGATGGTGCTGGTGGCAAGGGATAGCCTGGTGCAGGCTCTGCACACGGATGTCCCTGGAGCTGGGAAGGTGAAAAGTGCCTTTTCATGGGAGGCTCCATAATCCCATCACAGCAGAGAGCACATGGATGTGTGCTGCTCTTGGCCAACTCACCTGCCAAAAACATCCTGCCCAAGGCCCTGGGAGAGATGAGACAGGACCATGAGACAGGGTCCAGCCTTGCTCTGTGCATCCAATTCCAGGACCCAGGTCCAGACATGGAGAAGAAAATACAAATGCTGCAAGTAACATCTGTCAGTGCTGGATCACACATCACACAGATGGGAGATGCTCAGCATGAAGCCGTGCTGGTATCTCCCATACCTATGGAGATACACTCCCATACTCCGTACCTCTATGGAGATATAAGCCTGCACTTGAGACCTTCATCAACTCTTGATGGACACAGCCTGGGCTCCTCCATCCCCAGTCCCTTGGCAGGTCAACCAAGCCAGGAGGGATGATAATGGGAGCGAGATGCGGGATCGCAGCACTCACCCCCGTCCCTCTGCACGCTAATCGGAACAAAATGTTCTTCCATTGTTCACACAGAGCGTTGGTTTCCAACTATGGCAAATATTTAGGAAAACACAATTGAGTCATAAACGTGATTTACAATTTGGAGCACCCTGTATGTTACTACAAGCCCTGCAATTCGTCTGGGTTTGAAAAAGACCCAAGGAACAGAAAGGACTTTCCCAATCTCTGGCCAAGAGCATTAACATCTTGCAGACGCACTGCAGCTCCAAGTGATGGGCACTGTATTCCCGGTGTCAGCCACCAGCCATCACTCCCAGAATACTGGCTCATCGATGGGAAAGTCGGGCACACACCAGGACCTCACATACTTTGGACCGTCCTGCTCCCTCCAGCCATCCTGAGCTGGATCCACCAGAGATGGAGCAGCTGGGAAAGAAAAGCAACCCCAGACCAAGAGGGAGCCCAAATATACCCTTGGGCACGCTGGAGAAGGGAAGGGTGAGTGGTGCTTTCACAGCCTGGGATCACCAGGACTGTGATCAGACACTTGGACACAACACCAGACACTCCTCAAACACGAGTAAGTGCCAGGACACCCAGGACTCACCTTATTTACCACCCATCATCTTGGTCTCGTGGGAGCTGGCATCAGGGCAGGCACTGCAGGACTGCACCCAGGGCCTGGCTGCCCTCCTGGGGCTGTTGCTCTTGTCCAACACTTTTAATGCTGGACTCAAAAATGAGTGAAGCTCCTGACGGTTATTCAAAGCTGTTTGCTTTCATCCCTTGCCAGAAATATGCCCATTTGGTTCAGGCAGGCAAAACGGGGGGGGGGAGAAACGTGTAAAATGGCATTTCTGTGCCCTCACCCACAGCCTGTGCTGCCCCAGGCCAGTGCCAGTTACTGGTTCCTTTGCTTTTCCCAGTTTGGACCCATATTTCTTTCAAAACCACATTCAGATGCTTTTGGCACATCTCACATGGGAGGGGATGGGCCCTGAGGACAGAGATGTGGCCACCACCACTGCCCCACAGTGCCTGTTGGTCCCTGCGAGGTTGGTGGCCCCTGCCTGGCACACAGCAGTGCTTTCCCCTTGTACATGGCTTGGGCTCAGTTTGCTCTGGAAGGGTGAAAGCCTCATTGTAAGCTTTCCGGCCACTGGAATTCCTCCCCTGGGTGCCAAGGGGAATGTCTGCAAAAGCCCAGAAGGAAAAGCCTGGAAAGCTCCTTTCTGTGCTTCTCCCTGCCCTCTCCTGCCTGGGTGCGTGCTGTGCAGACTGCAGTGCTGGACCATGCCCATGGGATGCTCGACTCCTCCTGGATCGCAGCTGCTCAGACACTTCCAGCTCCCCAGACAGGCGGATTTCAGCCCTGGGGCCAACAACAGAAAAGCCCCAGTTGTACAAATCCCAGGTTAAGCAAACAGGAAGGTGCAGCCCAGGCGAAGCCCTGTTCAAACAAGCCCTGTTCAGAGGTGGTGGGGCTGGCAGCAGATGTGTTGATTCCTGCCTCCTTCCCTACCTGGAGACCCGGGAGCATCGGCAGCACTGGGACACCGGACAGGGTGGCCGCACAGGGCTGTGCTTGTCCTCAGGGCTGAGTCACAGAGCCCACATGGTAGCTCCAGCAAGGAGCTATTTTGGGCTCCTCAGTAAACCTGTGGCTTTCCGCAGGCGAGCCTGATACAAAGAGGTTTCATGCATGGCTTTGATCTCTTTTTAACCCTTGCAAGAAGAACCATGTGCAGCAGGAGGTGCTAACAAGGAATGGATTATGATAAACCACCCCAGGCACTTGCTGGCTGTTTCAGACACCAGCCATGTCAAGCTCTCACTTCCCTCCCATCACCGTGATTTGGGCTCACCAAGTAAAACCCATGTGGTGGGACAATTTGGGGTGATTTTAAACACAGATGAGGGGAGACTCCAAACAGGAGGGACAAGGGAAATATAGGGTGAGGTGATCCCAGGGTGTTTGGGTCAGGAAAAGCAACACCAACACCTACCCCAAACTAACTGTGATGTTTGTTCACCTTTCTCCTGAATTCTATTGCTGATGGTTTCTGGAGCAGCCTGGCAATAGAAGTCAGTCACCAGGCAAGGCTGTGATGAGAAGGATGAACAAAAAGAGATATGAAAAAAATCAGAGAACAACAGCAGGTGGGCAGGTTGGCTGGGAGCCTTCTGTAAAATATGTGTAAGCAAGGGTATGGGTAAAAAATACAGAGAGAGGCAAGAGATTTTGTTTGTAAGGGAGCTGCTGCTCTCCCTCTTCCCCAGCTGGTCCCTCTTGACCTTGCTCATCCTCCTCCATCAGTCCCGCATGGGGTATGGCCAATTCCTGTCTTCATAGAACTTCTTCAGGCCCTTGAGGTTGACAGGGGGGAAGTAAGGGCCGATCCTCTTCCGAATCCACCACTTCCCCTCGCTGGCATGCTTTCCCCCAGGTTGGCTGAATTTGTATTTAAAGTGTTCCCCTCGGATCCACCTGCAGAGAGACAAAGCACAGCCTCATCAGGAGGGAATGGCAATGCTGCTGAGTGAAGGTGGAAAGGCATTGGTCCATATTTACAGGCCCTGGCAGTGGAGGTTTTGAGTCTTTCCAGAGCTGGATGGAGAAATGAGCCTGCTGGTGCTCAGCCTGGCTGGCTCCTGCATCCTGGTGCTCCATTCGTCCATCCTTGGGATGCTCACATTCAGAAGCAGCAATGCTGCCATCCCTGATGGAGTGAGGCAGTGGGGAGCTTTTGTGCTCCTCGTAGAATCCCAGACTGATTTGAGTTGGAAGGGACCTTAAAGTTCAGCCAGTACCAACCCCTGCCACAGGCAGGGACACCTTCCATTAGAGCAGCTTGCTCCAAGCCCCTGTGTCCAGCCTGGCCTTGAACACTGCAAGGGATGGGGCAGCCACAGCTTCTCTGGGCACCCTGTGCCAGCGCCTCAGCACCCTCACAGGAATGCAATTTAATAATGATGCACCAGGCAGAAGAGCTTTAACACCCCCTGTGCACTCCCAAAACCACCAGCAGCTCCATACATCTCTCTACAACCAAGTTTGAAAGAAAAACAGCAGGAAAATCGTTTCCTAAGAGCAACTATGGAGAGTTTCTGCCCGAGACATTTCTAGGTACAGAGCTCAACTCCAGCCCCAGCATCCCTCAGCCCTAGCCCACGGCTGCTCCTTCTGCTCCACAGCTTATTAGCAGAGCTACGAGCGCATCTGTTTTCTGGCTGCCCTGGGAGCTGCCAGAAAAGGAGCTTTGCAAACAGTGCAGAAAGAAGCATTCATCAGTGTCGCCAAACACATTCGGAGCCTGACCGTGCCGCTCGGTTCGGTCCCGCTTGATGTAGGGCATGCTGACAAGAGAAGGAGTAACACCCCGGTGCTCCAGCGATGTGGTCCCTGTTTGCAGAGTGCATCGCTGCCTTTGCTGGCTAAGTTCATAAAATAAGCCACAAAATAAAAATGTCAAAGTCATGTCAATGCTCATTTAAACCTGCTTTGCTTCACTACTAAAATACAAACCCTGCTACTGAGCAGGGCACGGCGCTCCCGCAGCTGCTCGCTGCACCTCGGGCAGCCATAAAGTTCCTTCCTACTGCTAAAATAATTAGGGATGACTCCTGTATATTTGCCATTAGTGCTCACCTTCGGAACGCTGCCACTCCAATGGGAGATTGGAGACAACAGATTAAAAGGTCTGCTGTCATCATCACATCTCGACATCTCAATTTAGATCTTGCTGGGTACCCAGATGGGCCATACAGGAGCGATTCTCCTAACACAGCACATGAACACGGAGCTGTTCCTCACGCCCATCACTTGCTGCTGCCTTTCAGCAACCCACAGTAAATCTGTTTTCTGATTGTCTCCTGGCTGGAATGAAAGCAGAAAAAATATCCCCGTGCTTCCCCCTCTGCTGAGGATAAAGGGGTGGATCCAAGGAAGGCCAGATTAAAGCATCTGGAGCTGCACAGGGATGGCTCTAATTTAAACAATGGGTTACGGCTGAGTGCTGAGGGAAGAGTGGGGATGGAGATGTCCCCCAGTTCCATACCGCTCCACAGCAGAGCCTCCTGGGCCACCCCAGCATTCCCCCTTCCTGCCTGCTGATAGGAGCTGCAGGGAGGCAGGATACCAGCCCCCAGATACAGGAAGGTCAATGGGAAAAGGCAGAGGTGATGCCTTAGCCCTGGCTGGGGCTCAGGGTGCACAAACCTGCATCTCATCACCATAAATGCTGCCCTGCAGCTGCTGGCTTCATTACAGCCGGGGCTGCTTCTGCACCTTCTCTCCCTCCTCCTTGCTGAGGCTGCTCAAAGTCAAACGGGGGCTGAAGTGTTGCTCCCACAGTGTTTACTTCACAGGAGCACAAAATTTCCTGTTAATAATTAGACATTACAGAGCAGCAACATTCCCGTGGGCCTGGGTTGCCTCCAGGCTCCTGCCTGGGATGGCTGGAGATTTCCAAGCTGCTTCCTTGCTTTCTTGAATTCAAAATACCACATCCACCTCCCCAGAAAGCTTCAGGGGCCGATTTTATGTCAGTTCCTCTCCTGCTCGACGCCTCCCTCTGCCTCCCACACTGGGGATTTTGGGGTTTTTCTTCACTAAGCAACTGCAGAGCACCTACCAAGCTGGACCCATCTCCATGTATACCCATGATGTGGGGATAACGGAGTGCCCCATGCAAAAGGAGCTATCTGCAAACCCCATCAGGCAGAATTCCCATTTTCTAGATGGGGATGCAGAGCACAGAGAGCAGTTGACTTATCCAAGCAGACCTGGGATACCTCAGGAGATGTCAGGTCTCTGCACCAGACACAGAAGCGCCTTCTCCCCAACCTCAAGGACTGCCCTATAACCCCTCTGGAATGAAAATTTCCTTGTCCCTTTCGAACAGGCTTTGCCCACATTAAATAATACCTATCATCTGATTTGGTATGATTTTTCCCATATGTTCTCTGTCTATTAAAACGCTCATTATCAAAGGGGTTGACATGTAAAACTAGAACCGTGTGAGCATTAAAGCAACCACATGCAACTGAAGATGCATTTTTGTGGCATAAAGTTTGCCCTTCTATCTGACTACGTTTCAAACCCTTCTGTTCAGAGCCTAAAAAAGAATCTGAAGAGTCCCCCCCAAATCCCCAACTTCTAAATTCAGCCACAGTCTTGTCCCAACCACAACCACTCCGCTTCCCCCAGCACGCCCCATCTGAGCCATGATCTGCTGTGTTGAGATGCATGGTCCACATTAGGGTGACAAGATCCATGGAGGAGGAACCTGCACAGCTCTGTGGGCTGTGGAGCTTGTAAACTCCACGCTGCGCTCTTCCAGGAGCTGAACCACTCACCCAGTGATGAGTTATAAAGCTCTGGAACACAACCTCAGGGCTCCTGCATGGCCAGGACTTCTCTGGAATCCAGGACACAAGACTTGAAGGTTTCTGGGAAATGGAGGTACCAAAGAGCCCTCACACAGCTACAGCAACCAAAGTGTGGAGAAACTGCAATGGAAATACCTCTGCGCAGCAGAATACCTCTTAGCATCAGAATCTGGATGATGACAGCAGCATCTGGACCCTGCGCTATCCATCCTCTCCATTCGTCCCATGGTTAGTGGGAGAAACATGGAAAACCTGGAACCTTTCCTTGCAAGACTCGAGTATGCAAAAGCTGCAGAGTTTAATACTCACCAGAGCCTCTCATTTCAGGGCTCACAGAGTTTACAAGCATCACTTGGAACCCTGGACAGCTTGTAACTCAGGTGAGATGCTCGCATGCAGTCACCTCCATCCCAAGATACCACTACAAGCTACAGCTCACCTTATCAGCAATTGCTTGTGTTTTGTGCAACTCTGTGGCTCACACAAAGACCTTCTGGCTGATGGAAGAGATCCAGAGGTCCCTGAGCCCCCTCTGATGCAGGAGACCGCCAGCATGCATGAACCATACTTGCTGCTCTGGAGATCTGGGAACATCCTCAAGAAGGTCATGAAGAAGTTATCTGACTTCATCTACATCAAAAGGAGTCTAATGCACATGGGTCACTCATGCTGGGAGAAGGATGGGCAAGACTCCTGTTTCAGAGGAGACAGACAGAAAGGTCAGGAAGGACAATCCTGGCTGTAAGCAGTTTCCCAGGGTTTATGGAGCAAACACAACAGGCAGCTCCTCCTGGCTCCCTGGGAAGCACCAGAACCAGCTACCACAGCCAGGCAGGAAATGGCTCAGGAGAAGAGTTAGGCTGAACGGGGTCAGATCCCTGTGGAAACACGCAAGGGATAAATAATCATTTGAGAAGCCAGAATCAATCCTAGAATGGTTTGGGGTGACGGTACCTTAAAGCTCATCCAGTTCCAACCCCTGCCATGGCCCGGGACACCTTCCAGCAAAGCAGTTTGCTCCAAGCCCCATCCAACCTGGCCTTGAACACTGCCAGGGATGGGGCAGCCACAGCTTCTCTGAGTAACCTGTGCCCAGAATCAAGATACGGTCAGATAAAGCAAGTGAAGACATTTCTCTGCTATGACCACAAGAGGACAAGGGACAGAAAGGCCCCTTTGGCAGCTTCTGAGCCCAGTGGAGGTGCTGGCAGAGCGACAGCGCTGATGCCCATGTAGATAGCTGGAAGAGAGAGGACAGAACCACAGAGATGCCCAGAAGGACCCCACCACCCCACATGGAATACCAGGACCCGTCTGCAACCACCCTTCTGGACAAGCACTCTCTCCATCACCACCCACATCGGGCATCACCACCACGGCCTCGGGGAGGGCAGAAAGGCTAAAAATAAAAAGCCTTATTTTTTACATCAATATCTCCATCCCCCAGATGCCCGGTAGCAGCTGCACTGCAGCACTTTCAACATTCGATCATATATCAGCCTCTTATGACATCTTCCAACTGGACGTGTTAGAAATTAGCAGCAAGACTGGAGTTGGTGGGATGCAGGGCTAAATCTCCCAGACAGCTGTAATTAGTTCCAGAGGGTGCAGCTGTCTCCATGCAACAGCTGAGGGCTTCGAGGGAAAAAACCAGAGCCCATGGTTTCTGTTAGAATTAATGGCCTGACAGGCCAAGGCGGGCTGGGAGAGGGAAGAAAGAAACCAAAACACGGGGCGGCTCTTCCATTTTTAGGGGCTTTTTTTGTTGCTCTTGAGGTTCCCCACTCCATTGTAAATCAGGGAGCAAGGGGCAGTGGAAAGTACAAATTCATTACAGTAACAGAGCCTCCATCATCGGCTTTCTTGCTTCTTCGAGCCCTGTTAGTAGGAGGGATCATAAATTCATCTTGGCCCAAGTTTGCAGAATAAGGGCAGTTTTATGGGTTGTTTTTCAATGCTGCTGAGTTCTCTTTCTCCAAGGCTCCTGCGAGGTCTGGGCCTGCAGAGCCAGAGCATCCCATGGGCAGTTTCTCCTCAAAACTCTCCTGGGAGAGGGCAAAGTGGGGGTTTTCCCCCATGGACAGGTTAGGAAGGGAGGCTGGAGGCTGGGGCTACACTGAGGGCAGAGCAAACTTTGGTTTCACTGAATCCAGGTGTGATGGGGATGCAGTTGATGCTCCCAATGTAGCCAAGGCAGGAGCTGCCCTCGCCAAAGAAGATGCTCCCACAGCCACGGGACAATCTAAACTTCCCCTCACTCAGCTTGAGCTTGTTACCTCTTGTCCTGTCACTTACTACGTGAGAGAAGAGAGCAGCCACCTCCTGGCTCCATCCTCCTTTCATTCAGGTAGCTGTAGATGAGCTCTGCCATCCCTGACAATGCTGAACTGAAACACCAAGGTTGTTTTTAACCAAAAGAAAATCCCTCAAACTTTCACTCAGGACAATGGACTGATTTCATTCTGATAATATCAGACATTACAATGTTGATGATAAATTAAAGATATTCTTTTAAATTACAGTATAGAGGGAAAGAAGCAGCAAACTGCAATAAAACATTTCACCGTGATGAAACCCACTGCGAAAGCCAAAAGAATGTGTTTCTACCTTTTCACCTCTGAGGATCCTGTCACCTCCCAGCACAGGCTCATGGCTCATCCCCTGTGGACCACATGGGGACATGGAGGGAGACTTGTCTGAACTGCCACAGGGTCAGAGGAGGCACTTGGGATTCAGCCAAACCCAAGTTCAAACCTTGAAGGACTCACATCCCTATGGATGCTCCTAAACACCGCTCCTGTCTCCCTGAAAGACGTTTTGGGAGATCTTGCAGAACAGAAATGCCATTTCCACCTACATCCCATGCCCCTATCTTCCAACAATCCCATGCTCCCTGCTGCTACAACAGCTCAGGATTACCTTCACCCTTTCGGGGTGTCCAAGGCAGCAGCCCCCAAAGTGCCTTCTACACTGTGCAAATGCAAAGCCCTTTCCATGGCTAGGGCTGTGTCTTCAGAGCAACCACAGGGAAGCCCCTACACCTTCTGCCAGGGTCCACAGTGACTTACATGGCCTGAAAATCCAGTCCAGGTATAAAGCCCAGCAGCTGCGACACAAATGGGCAATAAATGGGCAACCAAATGAAGAAAGGACACCAAACGCTGTATTCTTCTTGTGTTCCTGCAGCCAGGTAGCATCAAATGGGAAATGCTGCCTCCATAAATAACACCACCACTACAAATCCAGGTCTTCAGATCCATGTTGGGGCCTTTTTCAACAAAGTGCTACTATAATTGGAATAAAAGTCCTTAAGTGAACATGATTTAATATCAGAGACACCGAACACTTCAGGTCAAAAATAACAAACTGGGGTTTCTTTTTACCTCCTCCTGTAGGCAAAAACCTGATTTTTGTTTTCTTTTATTGTTGCAGTCTGCTTCCATGACGGTGTGTTAAACACTTATGAATTTCTCAGCCAAAGCCCTACCGTTCAGATTTACGAGGGCTGGTGTTTTATGAACTATCCGCTGCCCAAGCATATTTGGTAAATCCACATTCCACAAACATCACTGTGCTTGAAGTAAAGCTTCACACTCAGCTAGGCTGAGTGCTCAACAATACCCTCATTTTTAATCAGTCACCTGTTTCTCATTTTAAGTTTATCACACTTGAAAAAATACTATAATTTCTGGAGTTGTAAAGAAACCTACAAACTTTGGTCTCCGAAATTTCATTTCGAAGGCATTAACTCATTCTGAAAGTCCCTTGGCTATTGAAGGTGTAGAGTTTCCATTAACAGAATAAACTCCGTGGAGTATGGAGTGTAATGTTCTTATGGAAAACAGTCCCTTGCCCTAATTATTTAGTCTAGCAGGGAATGAAAATAATTAAGTCTCAAAATTCCCTTTTGAGTGAAGGGGGGTGGAATATGGTAGGAAAATTAGGCTTTTTTCAACCCAGCTACTGAAGGGAGCTGAGCTGCGGTGGGCACAATCAGAGACTCAGAATCACAGAGTGGTTTGGGCTGAAGGGACCTTAAAGCTCCTCCAGCTCCAACCCCTGACACAGGCAGGGACCCCTTCCACTGGAGCAGCTTGCTCCAAGCCCTGTGTCCAACCTGGCCTTGAACACTGCCAGGGATGGGGCAGCCACAGCTTCTCTGGGCACCCTGTGCCAGTGCCTCGGCACCCTCACAGGGAAGAGCTTCTGCCTAAGATCTAATTCTTCTATTAATCTAATTCTATTCATCTAAACCTGTCAGAATTGGGATGAGGCACAACAACAGGGATGACCAAAGAAATGCAAATAGTAACAGGCATCAGATGGGAGATCCCAGTGCAGGATCCAACCCAGACCCCAGCCCAAGGCAGGATGAGCACCCCCTGTGTTTCCAGCCCTCACCTTCACCCCCGGGTGCAATCCCGGTGGTGCCAGTGTTCCAGGTGTTGGGATTTGGCCCAAACTGTGAGCCACAACCTGGGATGCAGAGTGAAAGGGGGTGTTGGATGTTGGCCTGAGCCCAAATAAGCATTTGTAAATTGTTATTTTTATTTTACACTACCCAAAAATACCCCAGACCCATGAAAAACTTCGAAAGCAAAGTTAATGCCAGAGCAAAGGCAGCTGCCACATAAACCCAGCGCTGGATCCTGATCTTTTCCTACTATAAACTAGCTGCTAAGGAGTGAAAACAGAGGCTGGGCTTTGGTTAAACCGAGGTGACACATGAATTGAGACCCTGTTCCACAAAATCTATAGCCCCGTGTGCTCAACTGCATCCACGCTGCTGCGTAATTACTCACTGGACCTGCCTGTGTTCCTCTGAATGCTCTGCAATTCTCTTCTATAAAAGCTAACAAAGTTAAAGATTTGCTTTAAATTCCTGAACATTTCATTTCCTCACCTGTTAGAGACTACAATAACACCCCCCCCCCCCCATCTGGAGCAATGCAGTGTTATCCCAGCCACGTCCCACTTCATTATTTTCATTTTAAAACGAGTTCTTGTGTTCAACTACTTCATTTGCCTTTTTATTAACATCACTGATGCCAGATGCAGAGATGCAGCCTGTCTATGGTGGTAAAGCCTGGCAAGGCAAGATGTGATATACATTAATTCATCCTTAATCTGTTATGGTGTCTTATTTTTAGCTTCAGACATGGTGAATACCAACATTTTTTGGCACTGGGGGACACGTGAGAATAAACAGGCCTGGGATTATCAAATGCTTCTGTCGCTCCATGAACCACAAGAGCTGTTTATTGCCAGCAGCCACCAGATGGTCCTGGCTTGTGGCTGCTGACATAAGGTGACACCTACTTCAAACTGGTGACTTGGTGTCTAAAGGTCCTAGGTCCTGCTAAAATCCCAGGGTCAGCCAGCACTCATCTTTCTTCTAGTTATTGTTAATAAAAGAGATCAATGCAAAGGAACATCCTGCAGTGAATGCCACTCAGTGAATTTCTGGCACTGAACCTTGAGGACATGAGGGAAGTTTGGTGAGACTCACGTAATAAATCCACCTGAGATGGAGCCAATGCAATACAGGTTGCATGCAAACCATCTCAGAGGAAGCGCCTTGGTAAAAGGTGGAAGTTTTTGGTGTCTTAGCTGGCAAAGGAGTCTCTCCTCAGCAGGTCTGGGGGATGCGCTGTGCTAAAGCTGAAAAACATCAGCAGGGTTCAAGAGGAAGTTCATTTCACGGTGCTGTGAACCTTCCTCCCTGTTTGCAGTGCATCCTAAGAGCCTCAAATGGAAAATATTAGCAAGAGCCTAATATTACTTGAGTTGATCCAAAATTCCCTTAAAATGTTTTCTCAGCTAAAAATAAGTTCTTCAACAAAATAGAGACTTTTGTGAGAAATTTCTTTTTGTTAAAAACATTCAGTTTTTCATCTGTGCCTTTCACTTGCTGATGTTTGCTTTGTCTCCTCACTGAAAACACAAACACTTCCAAGACAAGTGTCCACAAAAACAATCATTTCTGCAGGACTGCTTTGTCTTTGAACTACCTCAGTAGGCCAGTAGAACTGGGGCTCACAAAGTGATCATGGCAAAAAATCTAAGGCCTTTGGGCAGGAAACCACTTCAGTGGTCATGATTCCTGTCCAAGAGAAGCAACGCTGAGCCCT